ACAGCGGGCGAGCGGCACACGTGGCCGGGCTGGGGAGGAATGCCAGGAATGCCGGCGCCTTTAGCCCAGCATGTCCCACATAGGACTTGGCCTGGATTTGGGGAGAGCAGGCAGGTTTCACGAGTTTTGTGGAATCGAGTCTCTGAAAGGTCAGAGTCCAGCTGCAAATTCATTTTAACAACCTGAGATGCCGGGAAGCATCTGCCTTGCCTCCCTGTGCCGGCAGATCCCAGCTAGGGCCAGCCCACGGCCAAGCCTGGCATCTTCCCTGGCCAGGCAGGATAACCAGCTCGGATGCTGCAGCGCAGCCCCGGCGAGGGGCTCCCCGTCCCCATCTCCCCGTCCCACTGCCGTGGGGCTTTGCTCACGGACGGAGACCCTGTGCCGGCTACCTCCGGGCTTGGCAACAAAAACAACCACCACTGGCCACGGCTGAGACTGGCCAGACCAGACTGGCCTGGTGCTGCCCGCGATCACCAGCCGAGGCGAACCCCAAACCACGGGGCCGGACGAAGCAAAGTTGTGAAGTGCAAACAGCGTCTGCAAGGCTCGGGAGCAGGGATGCACACAGCGTCCCTTGCAGCAGGTGGAGAGGAGCTGAGCCTCCCTTTGCTGGAGGAGGAGGAGGAGGAGGTAGGAGCCTTCCTCATGTTTTCCCAGCTCGTGACTCCGCAGCCCATCCACCAAGTAATTTATTCATAGCGCAGTAACCTCAGGGGTCCTGATAAAAGGCCGGAGCTGTCGCATTGTTCTGGATGCGCCAGCGCCAGCACAAAGGCTCCGGGCACCTCCCGGCCACTGGCCAGGGATGCCACCAGGTCCCCTCCCATACAGGGGGCTACGGCACCCAATTCCTCGCCCTCCCACCCACTGAAACACCCTGAAGCCACCGCACTAATTGCCACAATTATTTCTGCTCTGGGCCACAGGGCCCCTCTCCAGCAGGCTGCGTGCCTGCTATTGCTAATGAGCTTAACTCCTGAGCTGGGTGCAGAGGCAGAACCCGGGGGGAGCGGGGGGGTACGTTTATTAGCCTGGCCGAGGTGCTTGAGAAAACAAACAAACAAGCAGCAGCGGGCTGGGAGACGCTTTTCCCCTTACCCAGCAGCCAGCAGCGGGCTGGGAGACGCCTTACCGCCATCAATAACTGCCGCCCAGGGTGAAAAATCCATCCCTGCGGAGGGATGGAGGGAGCCGGGTCCGGTCCCACGCAGCCACCAGGGATGAGTGTCCCCTCCTTTGGGGTCACAGCGACGCTGGGGGATGGGGACGACGCGCGGGGCTCGGGTCAGGGCTGCTGGCTTTCCACGGCTGGCATGCACGGAGCTGTGCTGCCGGGCGGAGCTCGCGGCGAAATGTTTCTGGTTATTGACACGCAGAGCCCGGCCATCAGCCGGACGCTGGGATCCATGCCTGTGGCGGAGCTAGAGGGGCCGCGAGCGCGCTTGGATTGCTGGGAACACGTGGGAACATCGACGTGGGAAACCCTCCCCACGGCACCTGGGGAAAGGTGCACGGCGGGGCAGTGCCGGCATCCGCAACGGGGGGCATCCGCAACGGGGGGCATCCGCAGGGATCCCCCATTGCACACTCACAGCGGCGACAAAGTCGCAGCCTTCGCCACAGCTCCCACCGCAGCCGCGCGGGTCCCGACCGGAGCGAAGCACCTCTCCGCTCGCTCAGCATCGCTCCTACAACTCGGAAGCTGCACCCGGCCATGGGGGGACTGATTAACTGAATTAACTGATTTCAGGATACAAAGTTGTCCAAGCGTATAACTTAACACATAAAAAAAAGAAACCAGGATGAGGATGCACGAGCCTCCAGATAAATGAATACCATGTAATTCATGAGTTATATGAAACTTTGAGAAATAAACGGCGGGGGAGCAGCAGTGCTCGATGCAAGTAATTCAGCTTAAAAAAGCTAAAAATTCAACCCAACTGACAAAATTAACCCAGTACCAAACCCGAGCCAGCCCAGACACTACAGAGCAAAGCTCGCAGCCCGGCAGCGCAGGCAAACCCCCTCCTCGCATCCCCCAGTCCCCCCTTCAGCCCCCGCAGCCGCCCCTCGTACCTGCAGGTGCTGGATGGGTCCTCGCTGGCAGCAGCCAAACCTGCCTCAGCCCCCCCTGAGCCCCCAG